CAACCAAGGTACTTGCCTTTGACCGGAATCGAACCTAGGACCTTAAAAATCTATTTAAAAATATATATATATTTGCTACTTGTTGACCTGCAGACTAAAGGGTTCCAGGTTCGATTCCAGCCTAGGGCATGTACCTTGGTTACCGTCACATCCCCAATAGGATCTGTGCAGGAGGCAGCTGATTGATGTTTCTCTCTCAGCGATGTTTCTAACTCTCTATCCCTCTCCCTTCCTCTCTGTAAGAAAATTAATAAAATATATATTTAAAAAAATAAAATATTCGCTGTTAGTATTAGTGGAGAGAAATGGTGCACCTGCGCATAAGGTGTGTAAGGGAAATGAATGCAACACGCTGACAGTAATCAGTCATTAGCGAACGTTGTAGTTCATTATATTTTTAAAACATATTTTATTGATTTTTTTACAGAGAGAAAAGGAGAAGGAGAGAGTAAGAAACATAGATGAGAGAGAAACATCAATCAGCTGCCTCCTGCTGGGGATGTGCTCGCAACGAAGGTATATGCCCTTGATCGGAATTGAACCCTTGAGTCTGCAGGTTGACACTCTATCCACTGAGCCAAACAGGTTAGGGCTGTAGTTCATTATTAATTATGTATAACAGGATATTGTAAAAATTAAGTTATAAAATTGTTATTAGCCAAAACCGGCTTGGTTCAGTGGATTGAGGCAGCTGATCGATGATTCTCTCTCATTGATGTTTCTAACTCTCTGTCCCTCTCTCTTCCTCTCTGTAAAAAAATCAATAAAATATATATTTTAAAAAATTGTTATTAAAACGTTTCTTACATACCGCTATGTTGGCTGGGCTGCAAAAATATTGGTTGTGGGCCGTGAGTTTGACATGCTTGCTCTAGGACCCAAGGTTTGGTCCAAGTCACTTGTTTGACTCAAGTCACTCCCACAGGCAGGGTGAGCTTGAGTGGTTCCCCTTCCTTCCCAGGGCTGAGGGTGTATGAGATGTGGACAGATTGTCAGTTGGAAACTAGACAGAGGTCTAGGCCTCAGGTAAAGGAGAGCACCTGCCTGGTCAGGGTTAAGGGACATCAGGGAGTATTTGCCCCATTTAAGGGGGAGTAGATTTAAATGAGCTCCAACTAGCTAGCTTATGGGATGCTGACTCAACATGGCCAAATCCTAGGATTTTTTCAGAAGCTGGAGATCTAGAAATACAGAAGAGTTCAATAACAAAATGCTGCTGGTCCTACACCACACCGGGATTTTCATGAAATATATTGTACAAATGTACGTCTCCTTTTTAAAATCTGAAAATTTCTGAGTTTCAAAGCACACCTGGCCCTAGAGGCTCTAGAATTGTGGGCCTGGGTCATTGAGTCACCCTGCTCTGTGATAGAGTGTTTTCAACGTTCTAGGAAATTTAGTGTCTACAAACGTGTAAAAAGCCCTCTGGTACAGTGTTTTTGCATACTGTCGGTCATGAAAATAAGTCGTTGGGCAATGGTCATAATATTTTTTAAATTTTTTTATTTTATTTTATTGATTTTTTACAGAGAGGAAGAGAGAGAGCTAGAGAGCTAGAAACGTCAATGAGAAAGAAACATCGACCAGCTGCCTCTTGCACACCCCCTACTGGGGATGTGCTGGCAACCAATGTACATGCCCTTGACCGGAATCCAACCTGGGACCTTTCAGTCCGCAGACCGACGCTCTACCGCTGAGCCAAACCGACTTCAGCATAATATTTTTTAATGAAGTAAAAAGCAACTATGTAAGATAAAGTATTATCCCATGAAATTTTTGTTATGTGTGAATGAGCAGTCATTTTATATATGTCTATAATAATAAAAGCATAATATGCTAATTAGATCAGATGTCCTTCTGGGCACCTTTTGGACGAAGCTGGGGCTGCGAGGGAAACCCGGGTCCTGGGTTCCATAGGGAAGGTGGTTCCGGCAGCCGCGGGACGATCTATATACTCTTGCACAAATTTCGTGCATTGGGCCTCTAGTATATACACTGAGTGGCCAGATTATTAGGGTCTCTGATTGCATAATAATCTGGCCATTCAGAGTGTGTGTGTGTGTGTGTGTGTGTATCTATATCTATATCTCTCCTATATAATAAAGAGGTAATATGCAAATTGACTATCACTCCAACACACAAAATGGCTGGCAAGGGAGGGCACTTGTGGGCAATCAGGCCAGTAGGGGTGGGCAGTTGGGGGAGAACCAGGTCTGCAGAGGAGGGCAGTTGCCGGGGACAAGGCCTGCAGGAGAGGGCAGTTGGGAGGGACAAGGCCTGTAGGGGAGGGCAGTTGGGAATGACCAGGCGTGCAGGGGAGGACAATTGGGGGGCACCAGGCCTGCAGGGGAGTGGTTAGGGAGTGATCAGGCTGGCAGGAAGAAGCAGTTAGGGGCAATCAGGCAGGCAGGCAGGTGAGCCGTTGGGAGCCAGCAGTCCTGGATTGTGGGATCAGGCCTAAACGGGCAGCTGGACATCCCTCAAGGGGTCCCAGATTGCCCCCCGCCCCGTGCATGAATTTTGTGCACCAGCCTCTAGTGTGTGTGTGTGTGTGTGTGTGTGTGTGTGTGTGTGTGTGAAGCCCAGTGCATGAATTCGTGCATGGGTAGGGTCTGGCCAACCTGGCAAGGGAGAGGGGACATGGGTGGTTGGCCGGCCGGCCTTCTGGTTGAACTCCTGGTCAAGGAGACAATTTGCATATTAGCCTTTTATTATATAAGATATGCACTGAGTGGCCAGATTATTATGCATTCAGAGATCATAATAATCTGGCCACTGCCGAAACCAGTTTGGCTCAGTGGATAGAGCGTCGGCTTGGGGACTAAAGGGTCCCGGTCAAGGGCATGTACCTTGGTTGCGGGCATATCCCCAGTAGGGGGTGTGCAGGAGGCAGCTGATCGATGACTTTCATCGATGTTATTAACTCTATCTCTCTCCCTTCCTCTCTGTACAAAAAAATCAATAAAATATATATTTTAAAAAGAAAAAAGAAATTCTCCACAGATTTGAATGTTTAAAAAAAATAAAAATAAAATAAAATAAAAATAATCTGGCCACTCAGTGTAATATATATATATATATATATATATATATATATATATATATATATACACACACACACACACACACACACACACACACATACACATACATACACGCATGCACATGCACACACACACACGTCTTTGTTTTTGTGGGTCATAGTTAAAAAAAGAAGTTGAAGAACTCTTGCTGCTATAGAAATAGCAACAATTTGGAGTCACAATTGGACTCAAATCCTAGAGATGACAGACAACCCGAAATCTCAGAAGCATTGTCCCAAGTTAGAGACATGTGTGCTCTGTGAACAGACATCCTGTGCTGTGCTAGGACACAGCAGTGTCCTGCAGGTCTGAAACCTTCATTGATTGTGATTAATGGCTGTGTGAAGAATGGCTGTGAAGTTGCTTTGTAGATTTTGAAGCATAGTGAAGCTTGGGGATGGGGTAGTTTCAATAAATAACAATTGTTGTGATTCCTGCAGGGAGACTCATGTTCTGACTCATCCTGCTTTTGGACATTTTGGGGGCTCATCCAGCATGGCCAGGAACTCAGTCCTACAAGGAAGGAAGACTGTCTCCCAGTTTCCTTATCTTTCCTGTCGCCCTGCCAGCTGGGAACATGGAGGGGAAGAAGGGGGAGCTTAAACCAGGACTTGGACTGCTGGGCCTAGTCGGCTATTACTGAGGTGAGTCGAGAGTCCTGCCATCCCAGCAGATCATCCCGTCTTTGTTCCAGGCTCACTGTCCTAGGGTGGCCCCAAGCAATCTTGAAGTAAAGCGCTCATGTTCTTTCTCTCCGGCTTAATACCCTTCCAGGAATCCTTATTGCTAGCAGGATAAATCCAGGTTTCTCAGCTTATTCCTGCATGGTCTGGGTCCTGACCCATCCACAGTCTCTTCTCTTCCCTTTACTCAGACATGGGACACTCCCTTCTTGGACCTGTAGTAAAATGTTACGCTAAGCTTCCAGCTCCCAGTCTGGTTTCCAACTCATGATCTGTCCACATCTCATACACCCTCAGCCCCGGGAAGGAAAGGGAACCACATAAGGTCACCCAGCCTGTGGGAGTGACTTACATCAAACAAGTGACTTGAACCAAACCTTGGGCCCTAGAGCAAGCATGTCATATTAATAACAAATTACTAATGACTGATTACTGTAAGCATGTTGCATTAAATTCTCTTACCCTGCCTCCCATCTCTGGCTGGTAAGTCACACCACCTTTAAGACACAGTTCAATTCCCCCACCTTCCCAAAGCTCTGGTCGTCCGTAGCACTGGCTGCTACCTCCACTGAATAAAACACCCACCTGGATGTAGTTGTCCCTGCCCATGTGTCAGCCCTGCCAGACTGTCACTGCCCTTTGGTTGATTCCTTCCTGTGCTCTAGGGACTGTGCAGGAGCTTCCCAGCAGCATCTCAATTTTGAAAGTTTCCATAATAGCCGAGACCGGTTTGGCTCAATGGATAGAGCGTCGGCTTGGGGACTGAAGGGTCCCGGGTTCGATTCCGGTCTAGGGCATGTACCTTGGTTGCGGGCATATCCCCAGTAGGGGGTGTGCAAGAGGCAGCTGATTGATGACTCTCTCTCATCAATGTTTCTAACTCTCTCTCTCCCTTCCTCTCTGTACAAAATCAATAAAATAAAAAAATAAATAAATAAAAGTTTCCATAATAAAACTTAAAATCTTTAACAAAAAAAAATTGCAAAAGTCAGAAATAAATGGATTTTAGGATTAGGCAGACCTGATTGAGTTTAAGTCCTGCCTGTGTCCCTTCTCCAAGACCCTATAAAATATGGGGATGCCTAGTCTCTTCGGCCTAAAGGGTCTCACAAGACGATTCTTGCCAAAGACCTGGCACATTGGGGGGATGCATTGAGTAAACCCCTGACCCCAGCCCCAGAGTCATTGACAGTGTGTTGTGTTTCAGTAACTTGTAATCCTCAAGGACGTGGCCATGGACTTCACTTTGGAGGGCTGGGAGCAGCTGGGGCTGGACCAGGGGGACCTGTTCTGGGACACGGCATTGGACAACTACCAGAATCTCTTCTTGCTGAGTGAGTATGCACCCTGCCCCTGCTTGGTGGTCACCCATGGGCTCCCCGTCACCCACAGGATGAACTCCCAGCTCTTGAACACCTCAGAACCAACATGATGTAACTCAGCAATGCTCAGCTGGCTAATTCTGGTCCCTAAGGGACATTGGCAATGCCTGGCCACCTTTTTGATTGTCACTTAGGGCCATTGGAAGTGCTTCTTGCATCTAGTGGGAAGAGCCCAGAGAAGCTGTCAGATATCCTAGGATGCAAGGACAACCCCACAATCAAGGGTTACCTGACCCCAAATGTCAGTAGTGACAAGATTGACAAGCCCTCATCCTACCCCTGCCTACCGCTGCAGCAGCATTTCCTCTTTGTCCTTAGAGAGTAGTTCCTCGTGCTGACTCTGTAGGGTCTTCACAGCCGCTCTCCCCTCTGCCTGGCAGACTCTTGTCCCTTCCTTGACTCGGGGCTTCCCTAAGACTGAAACTGTGACTCCATTAGCACTGCCTCTCTCCTGCTCAGCTAGTCACTGCGCCTTCATTTTCTTATGCTCTGTCCCCTGCCAGATGGGAGCTTCCTAAGGGCACCTTGCTGTTCACTGGTGTACCCCAACATTTGTAATAAACAATACCTGCCACGGGGACTCAATAAACAATTCCTGAATTAATAAATGAATGGTGGGAAATGCTGTCCGAAGCCAGGTTATGTGCTGGGTGAGCTCTTAGAACTTTCTCTTTCTACCCTCCAGCCACCCCATGAGAAGTTTGTCCATATTTTGTTGAGCATCTTAAACAGGTTCAAAGAGGGGAAGTCATTTTTGCAGTTCTCTTAAGGTTCCTAGGATCACCCTCGCTTTGATAGTTTACTAAGAGGACGTGAGGACTCGGCCTATCGCCGTATTTATCTCATGATCCATCACAGTGAAAGGACACACAGTACAGTTAGCAAAGGGGAGAGTGCGTGGTGGGAATCCAGGGGAGACTAATGTCAGCTTCCAGAGCCCTGTCTCCGTGGAGATGACCAGAACATGCTTAATTCCCCCAGCAACAAGGTGTAGTAGCACCTGTGAAAGTTGACCAAGGACACACTAACTAGAGACTCCGCACCCAGGGTTTTTATTCAGGGATTATTATGTAGACACACTCTGGAATGTACCAGCAGCCCAGATGCTCAGCAGGAAAGCAGGTGTTCAGCAGTACAGTTTGTGCACAGGGAGCCCCGCTGACTGGTTAGAAATGCTGGACTCTCCCGAAATCCAGGTTCCCAGGCTCTGCCAAGGGCAGCCTTGTGAGCAGGTCGTTCCAAGAGCATTAGCCTGCTCTGTTAGCCCTTTTCACTGGGCTCTGACCACCAGCGTGCACAGTGAGCAAATGGCACGGCTGAGAGTCCGGTTGGGACCTGTGCAGCTCCATGGCCAGGGCACCCCAGCTCCATGTCATCCAGATCAACTCATTTCCCTTTCTCTAGTTTATCAGTTCTTTCTTTTCTGAAAACAGAAGAATAATATATTCCAAAAGACAGAGAAAAGACTATATATTGGAACTGTATTTGATATAGTTTTATCACATTGGGACAGCTTTTCTCCAAACTGTCCTCAAGCTGTGCCATAGAAGCAGCTTAAAAAGGTCTGATCTCAGTGTTTTCAATTTTTAAACTCCATCCTACAGTAGAAATGTCTGTCCTTTGTTTCCCCTGCACATCTGTGTGTGTATATGAGGAGGGTATTATTTTCCTATGGCTGCTTCTACAAATGCCTCAAATGCTGTGGCTTAAAACAGTACATTTATTCTTACAGGTCTGCAGATCAGAAGCTCAAAACAGGTCTGAGTGGGCTAAAAGCCAGGTGTTGGCAGGCTGGCTCCAGGGGAGAATCTGTTTCCTTGCCCCTTTTCAGCTTCTAGCAGCCTCCTGCATTGCTTGGCTCATGGCCCCTCTCCACCTTCACAGCCACCAGGGGCCTTTCCTCCACTGTAGCACACATGCCTGGATTAAAACTGCTCCCTTCTTTACAGAGGTTTGGGAAAGGCAGTGTGCAGGGTTGCTGGGGCTCTGGAACCTGAACATCCTCTATCACAGGGCTTACCCCCCAGAGGCCTGGTGCAATGTGTGTGCCACAGGTGAACAGTGAATTAAAAATGGTTAAGTATGGACCCGTCCAACTGGCAAGCTCTACTCATCCCTTGAGCTGTTCCAAGTCCTTTGTCTGTAGCCCTAGCTTTCATAGCTCTGACCACCCTGGATTGTGACTGTGTGAGTCCTTCTCTTCCACTGGACAAGGAACCCTGCAGGGCAGGCATCTCAGAGTCACTCAGTGCAGCATCTGGCCCCCAGATGTGTGCTAGATAAAGTATGGAATCGCCAGGAGAACCAGCAGCTGGATGGCCCTCCACATCTTGGTTGACGGCAGTACTGTTCTCTCTCCTTGCAGACCCTCCAAATCCGACCTCCTGTCCAGATGGTGGGGAAGAGCTGGAGATCCCAGAAAAAGGAAGTCCAGAAGTGACAGGCCCTGGTGAGTGGGTGGGAAGGGGCCACTGACACCTGGTGCGAGAATGATGGGGTCCTGTGGCATGGCCCTCTGTCCTCAGATGGAGTATGTCTACCCAACCATCGGACCCCTGGCTTCTGGGCTTCCATTTCCACATGCTAGCTTCTGTCTGCCTGTCCCAACCAGGATCAGGACACTGCATGCACTCCTTGTCTCTGTTTCCCTCAGCATTCAGCACGTGGCTGTCCTGGTGCCTTTTCTCTGTTCCCTCCTTGGTCCTTCCGGTCTCAACAGGGGGAGGTCTCCAAGTTGGTCTCCATTTTCTTGCCTCATGCCCCCTAAGTACTGTGGACACCCAGGTCTACCTGTTTCGACCTCTTTGTATAGGCTCAGCCCTCTTTTGGTAGATGGCCACAACTCAAGCCTGGGCATTTCTGCCCTCTCCCACCCAGGCCACAATTATCCCAGGAGGATCAGGTTAAGCAGTGAAGATGCCCCAGTGTGATGCTGGTTAAGACATCCCCAGTGGGAGAAAGAAGAGGCAGGGGCCTTGCCTGGGATGAGAGGCTTTTCTCGTGGTTCGCCCTGAACCAGAAACCATGGAGAAGTGTCTGCACAGCTTGTCAGCATGCAGCTCCATTCTTGGCTCACCTCAGGAACTCCTGAGTGTTTTCACAGAGGTGACTAACCCAGGCCCAGGTTCCTGCTCTCTGGATTTCTCTTTCTGCTACCACAACACAAAGCTGTTTCCAAGCATGTGGAGCCACACCTTTATTAACGTGTAAATATAGCCTCCATGGAAACAGTCGTATGGCGTTGTTACCATTTAGATCTTGTCCCTTGCTCAGTGCACTTCTCTAGGAAGTAAGCCTCCGCTGATGAGGGTGATGGTGAAGAATATCTGCTGAGAGACCCTCTCTCCTCCCTGCAGCCCAGCTCCCATCTTAACTGTCTTGGACATGGGTTTCCTTTTCCTGTGATGAAGGTTACAGCTGGATAATCACTATTCTAGCCTCTTTTCCTTCATCTCTTGATGGACCGGCTTGACTCAGGATTCATCCCCTGTTCTCTCGACTGTATCCTCACCCTGCAGCTGCTGTCTTTTCACCTTAGGAAACAGGAGACATTTACACTTTCTCTCTTTCAGACACAGCTGCGGCCAAGATTTCTCCTTTGCCACAGGAATTCTCGGAAGAACTCTCTCAGGAGATACTGGAGACGTTTTCCAAGGATGGCCTCTGGAACTCTAACTTCGAAGAAGCCTTCACAGGCGAGAGCTGGTTAGATAGTTTTCTAGAAGGTACAGAAAGTCTTATAAGCTCTGAAGTTGTCACCAACAAGGAAAGTTCCACAGATTGCAAAAGTCATGAACTCAAGAGTGGCCTTGGTCCTGAGTCCTTCCTTTTCACAGGAGAGGATTCCCTGACCCATGACCTTTCCGAGAAGAGCGTGACGCCAGCTAAGTCTCAGGAATGTAAGAATGACATTGGCTCCCACTTAGACCAGAGCCAGCTGGATGCTGCCCAGGAAGGGGTGATACCATATAAATGTAGTGAATGTGGGGAGAGCTTCGGCCGGAGTTGCCATCTTATCCAGCATTGGATTAATACTCATATGGCGGAGGAACCAACTGGGAATCAAGAGGATGAGAACAGTTTCAACCAGATTTCTTGCCTTCCTGCCTATCCAAGGACTCACACAGGTTACAAATCCTATGTGTGTAACAAGTGTGGGAAAACTTTTAGTAACAACTCACACCTTCTGAGGCATCAAAAAATTCACACCGGAGAGAAGACACGTAAGAGTCAAGACAGTGACCATTCATCAGGTCTTGTCTCACAGATTGTTAAACAGCAGAAAACCCACAGAATTCATAAATCCTACAAGTGTAATGAGTGTGGCAAGAGTTTCAGCCGAACCTTTCATCTTATTCAGCATCAGAAGACCCACACTCGGAAACACTACGAATGTGTCAAATGCAAGGCCACCTTCAACTTCAACAAATACCTCCTCCAACATCAGAAAATTCATGCTTCAAAAACTACCTCTAAGTGTCAGGAATGTGGGAAGACCTTCAAGCATAGCTCATCCCTCATTAAACACCAGTCTACTCACTCGGGAGAAAAACCTTATAAGTGTGACGAGTGTGGGAAATGCTTCAGCCATAGCTTGACTCTAAAGAGCCACCAGAGGGTTCACAGTGGAGAGAAGCCTTACAAATGCAGCCAATGTGAGAAAGCCTTCTACCGAAACACTCATCTGAATGAACATCAAAGAATTCACACTGGCTACAGGCCCCACAAATGTAACAAATGTGTCAAAAGTTTCAGCCGGCCTTCTCACCTGATTCGACACCAGTCTGTTCATGCCGTAGAAAAGCCCTTCAGATGTGCTGAATGCAATGAGACCTTCAGCCATAATGAACGGCTTGTCCAGCACCAAAAAATGCATGCTATGGAAACCCGCTATGAATGTCAGGAGTGTGGTGAGCGCTTCATTTGCAGCTCGACTCTAACTTGCCACCAGAGCATTCACACCCAAGAAAAACAAGGACTTGATGGGAGCGGCAAGATCTTGAACCAGAACCTAGAACAGAAAGATCATCCAAGGGGTGGCGAGAAGCACTTCAAGTGTAACACATGCGAGAAAACATTCAGCTCCAGCAAATACCTGACTCAGCATGAGAGGCTTCACACCAAGGAGAAGCCATTTGAGTGTAAACAGTGTGGAAAAGCTTTTGTTCAAAGTGCACAGCTCATTCGCCACGAGATCATACACTCTGGAGTGAGGCCATATAAATGTGAGGACTGTGGGAAGGCCTTCATCCGAATCACCTCCCTTACCAAACATCAGTTCATCCACAAGAGCGAGCACCCCTTTAAGTGTAATGAATGTGGAAAGACTTTCAGCCAAAGTGTCCATCTCTCAGAACATCAGTTAACTCACACTGCAGAGAAACCCTTTAAATGTAATCAGTGTGACAGAGTCTTTGTGCAGAGTAAGTACCTTATTCAGCACCAGAAAAGTCATGCCAGAAAGAGATCTTTTGAATGTTATGAATGTGGAAAAACATTTAAACACAACTGGCGCCTTTCCAAGCATCAGAGAGTTCACACGGGTGAGAATCCATATAAATGTGGTGACTGTGGGAAAACGTTTAGCCTGAAAGCTGTACTTGTTCGACACCAGAGAGTTCACACCAGAGAAAAGCCTTATGTTTGTCAGGTATGTGGGAAAGCCTTCAGCCAGAACTCATGCCTTTCTGTTCACCAGAGAGTTCACACTGGAGAGAAGCCCTATCTGTGTGCTGAATGTGGGAAAGCCTTTTCCCAGAAAGCAAATCTGAGGCAGCACGAGAGAATTCACTCTGGGGAGAAGCCTTACATCTGTGATGTGTGTGGGAAAACCTTTAGCCTCAGTTCCCATCTCAGTCAGCACCAGCTAATTCACACCCAAGAAAAACAATATCAGTGTCAACACTGTCAGAAAGCCTTTGGCTGCTACTTAGGTCTCCGTCGACACCAGCAAGTTCACACTCAAAAGTAACAAGTAGCAATACTACCTGTGGTTGCCAGGTGACAGCAGGACCTGCCATCTGAGACCTAAAATTGAAACATTCACATTGTAAGTCCATCCTTCCCCTACCCCTCCCCTGAAATATATATAGATCTCTATATTAATAAAGATTGATTAGAAAATTTGCACACAAGTTTAATTAAAACAGTGAAAATACAAAAGAAGCTGTGCAGTATCCAAATTCAGAGGTAGACTCTAGCCAGTCTCCCCAGTTAAATTTCACCTCTGCCATCTGCTACCTAAGTGACTTAGAGAGAGTCATAGAACTTCTCAGGGCCTCAGTATCCTCATCTGTAAAATAAGTAAAATAATAGTTACCTACCTCAGAGAGATGTGAGGATAAATTGATGTAAAGCACTTAGCACTAAGTGGCCAGCACATAATAAGTACTTGCCAAGCATGAGCTATACATATACTTTATATACAACATAAACGTACTCTAGGAGAATTAGAAGCTCTTTATATTTACTGCAGTTAATGTTCTTACTAATATGGGTGGCTTTAATTTTAAAGTTTTTCTCCAAAATGCCCCTGGCTTAATTTGGTTCTCCAATCCTAGTACATTCATCTTTAAAAGAAAAAAATCTAACCTTTTCCTTCCCTCCATCTTTTTTCTGTCCCAGTATTTTCTTAACTAGCCCACAGAAAGTCAAGAAGAGCGCTTAAATTAACATCAAATGGCTAAAACTTTTAACTTTCTACTCGTAACCTCTCATTCAAAAGGACCCTTTCCACATATACATGCCAAATTATTTTTTCTAATCCTCACCCAAGGACATGTTTATATTGAATTTTATAGGGACGGGGAGAGGGGGAGGCATTCATTGGCTGCCTCCTGCATGTGCCCAGACCAGGGATCAAACCTACAACCTAGATAGGTGCCCTGACTGGGAATTGAACCCACAACCTTTTGGTGTACGGGACCACACTCCAACCAATTGAGCCACTCAGCCAGGACCACATGCCACCTTTTCCCATAATCTTCCCATGTTTAAAGTTACTGGTAATATAAGGAACCCATTTTTTTTTGTTTTGTTTTTTTGTTTTTGTTAATTGGAGTTAGTGATCCTGGAACAGCTGGATTCAGTTAGGAAAGCTGCACTGGATATTGTCACAGTGTACACTACACGGAGGATGTGCTTGGTGGTGAAAATTGTGATGGACTGCTGGAATCTTCGTGCACCATTTGTCCAAGTTGGCTATTCACCAGGCACTTTCCCAGGAGCCAGGACAGGGAATGTCAGTATGGTAAGCCCTGACCTTGCCTCGAAGCTTCTGGAATCCAAGGGAAATTGGTCCCATTTTCACAGAGGAGTGGTTTGTTGACAAGTGACGTCTTAAAATGCCACATTCCCTCGTATCACAGCGAGTTCTAGGGCCGCTGAGGATTGTTAGAGCCCAGTAACGAAAAGAGCTTTTCTGTTGGAGCCATCAAGTCGACAGCTCACCTTGGCCAGGCCTGTGCTACAGTTGAGACTCACCTCACGGAACCACACAACCTGCTCCTCTAGATGGCAGCTCCTCTCTGGGCCTTTGTGCCCTACCCACTAAGTGAACAAGTGACATGTTTGCTGAAGCAAACAATCTTAAGACATTGGACACTTAATATCTTTCATATTCTTGGTGCTAAAAAAGTATAAGAGTATGTTTCCTATGGCTCTTGAACTTTTTAAGCCTTGCACTTTGAGTTCTGCTGGTTGGTTTTGTTCTTGAAATTGGGAACTTAATGGTTAATTAGTTAGGCTAACTGGGCAGTGGGGAGCATACTGGTTTTCAAACGGCCAAAATGTCCCACTCCCTGTGCATGGTCCCTGCCCCTGAAACTGTCTAGTCTGGGTGACAGGCCAGTGGGGTCTACAAAGTGTTGCGGGATGGGGGAGAGGTGGGAACTCAAAGTGGGTTGAAGTGTATTGAATGAAGAGTTTTAATACTAAACTCACAGTTCAGAAACCTGTGGAAAGTCAGCAGCTTGGGGAGGGGGGTGCAGTTTTCATAACTAATGACCTGTGTTGCTATGAGCCAGGGTAGAAATGCCCTCGTGTGTATGTTGATTCTCTGATTAAAGTTTTGAGTCTGAAAGTGTCGGTTCCTTCTCTCAGCCTGGTGCCACACGCCTGGCTAGATACTGGGCATACAGTGTTACCAGTTTCCATGTCCTAGTGGGGCAGGGCTTGCCGTGGTGAAAACCATCCCTTAAGAGGGCAGTGAAGTCTGTTTTCCCAAAGACTGGGAGGGAACCACACAAGTTCAGCCAGTCTCAGATATATCAACAAACACTTCCATTCTAGTGCAATCCTAAGTAATCACCAAGAAAGCATGGTATTGTCTCTACAAAGACACAGCAGGCCTCAGGCTCAGGCAATAATTTTTACTAACATTTAATACTATTTGGCTCTTGGTATTAAATTCTTGCCACTTTTTCTCCTTTACTGACAATATACTACCTTCTTGCTCATGGTAATGACAGAAAGTCCTCTTTATTTTTTTTAAGATACCTTTCTTATTAATTTCAGAGAGGAAGAGATAGGGAGACTAAGATAGAAACATCAATGATGAGAGCATTTTTTGGCTGCCTCCTGCACACCCCACACTGGGGACTGAGCCCCCATGTCCTGACTGGGAATCGAACTGACCTGGTTCATAGGTCAACACTCAACTACTGAGCCATACCAGCCAGGTGCAAGTCCTCTTTAAAAATAAATTGGTTTAAGGGGAAGATGGGGGAGTAAACTGAATTAAAGGAAAAATATGTGGTACACGTGTACATTAAAAATTGAGTTGCACGAGGCTTGGGGAACACGGAGTTAGCCTAGCACTGCTAAGCCAAGAGACTTAGCTGAATTAGATTATGTGGTGGCAAAACAGTTAAAAGTGTCAAATCTCAGTAGTTGAACAGAGCAGAGGTTTATTTTGCTCACATTACATGTCCACTGTGTGGACAAGGTGGGTGGCTGGCTCGCTCTGAACTATACACTCGAGAGACCAGGTTAGAGCCCCTTGGTTACCACAGCAGGAAAGGAGAGAGCCTGTAACCGAGTTACATGCCTTTGACTTAAGTCAAACCTGGGACTTCTTGGTCCGCAGGCCAACACTATCCTCTGAGCCAAACCAGTTATGGCTCACCAGGTACCTAGTTTAGCACTTCTTAGTTGGGATTCAGGAATCTGTTTTAACAACTCCACCAGGTGATTCTCATCATGAGAGAAGTTTGGGAAACGCTGCCCTAGAATAATGGTTTTCAAGTTTTCTACTCACAACTTGTTCTTGCATTAGTGTTTTCTAAAGTGTGGGTGACACCAATATTTTGGAAGATGACACTATATTAAATATCAACTCACACACTAAGAAGGTCACTTTTCAAGTCTGTTGATGCTTCTGGTAACCTGATGTTGGGAAGATACTCTTAAGAAATCACACCTGAGAGCTCACTGCATAAAACAGATAAAGGTGGACACACACTGGCCAAAGGGTTAAGGAAACTTGCCCCTGTTGACCTGTTGTTCAGGGTGAAATGCTAGAGCCAGGATTTGAACCCAAGCAGTCAGGCTCCAGGCTTGGGACCCCTAATCATTATGCTAAAGACAAAGATTCTGATCTGTCCTTCACCAGCTCCTGAGGCTGGGTGGCACCATCACTCCCTGTGAGCCGGTTTCCTCACATCAGCAATAACAATAGTAGGTACTCCTCCGGGAGATTGTGAGATTAAATACGTGGGAAATGTTTAGAGCTGTGCCTGGCACCCAAGATGCATAAGTATGAGCTGTTTCAGTATAATGAATACTTTTTAGTAATTATCAGCACTAAAACTAACGCTGTATTTTTTTCCCCAACACTATCCTTGGCTCATAAGCACTCAACACATTACTATACATTTTATTTATTTTGTAAGGTTAGTACTTACAAAACTTGGAACCCTAGAGCTTAACCTTGACCTTAGTTCGACACCTACCAAGAAGTGATTGAAAATCCAATATTAATAAAACAATAATAACAGATTTATACTAGACATTTACTTCCTTAGAAAGTGAGCTTAGAAAACACAAACAGCCAAAACCGGTTTGGCTCAGTGGGTAGAGCATCGGTCTGCGGACTGAAAGGTCCCGGGTTCGATTCTGGTCAAGGGCATGTACCTTGGTTGCGGGCACATCCCCAGTAGGGAGTGTGCAGGAGGCAGCTGATCGATGATTCTCTCTCATTGATGTTTCTGACTCTATCCCTCTCTCTTCCTATCTGTAAAAAAATCAATAAAATATATTTTTTAAAAAAGAAAAGAAAGAGAAAACACAAACCTGAGAAACTAAGCTGGCTCTACACCATTCAATTCAGCCAGTGAGTCCCCAAACCAAGAGCAAGAGAAGAGCAGTGACCAACCTGGACGAAGCCCCCCCAAATCCTCTCCAAGCCTTGACAAGGATCCTGGGTACCAACCAGCATTCTCAGCACGAACATCAGCGCGTTCCGCTCACAACGGCTTCATTGGCTGAAGCCTCCTGCTCCCACCAGCCAATCCTCGCGCCAGCCCTGCACATAGCCCCGCCCCCACCCTCCTCTACCCCGCCTCTCATCTTGCCCCCGCCTGGCCTCTGGCCGCGAGCTAGCCAGCCTTAAGGGGGTGCCCCATTTGCTGAATTTCTGGGTCCTATTGAAAAAAATCTGAAAATCTGCAAACCCCGGGGCCATTTCACCAGGACCGCCATCGGATGGAGCGGCGCCTTTTACAGCCTCCAGGAATGGGGCCTGCACCTGTTCACTTGACCTACCTGGGCCCAGAAGATATTTGAGGTTTCTTTTTGTTTATTTATTTATTCTCACCTGAGGATATTTTCCACAGACTTTTAGGGAGAGTGGAAGAGAAAGGGAGAGAGAGAGAAACGTCGATGTGAGAGAGATTGATTTCAGAGAGGAAAGGAGAGGGAGAGAGAAGCATCAATGATGAGAATCATTGATCAGCTGCCTCCTGCAACCGGCGCATGTGTCCTTGACCAGACTCGAACATGGGACCCTCAGTCCATAGGCCGACACTCGATCCACTGAGTCAAACCAGCCAGGACTGAGGTTTCAAATTCAGACCCTGGGAAAATCGCCAAGCTCCTTCCCCTGGCACTTATGGTGTATGGGTCAATGCTGTCTTTGTAGGCTTCTCTTCCCCCACCTCCCCGCTCCCCCACACTACTACCCTCATTGTTTATTCAACAAATGTTCGCTGAGTGCCTGCTTCGGGCCAAACATTGTGCTAGGCATGGAATCTTCAGCTAAATTCTGCCCCTCTCCCCCCTTTTTTTTATTTGTGTGTGTGGATACTCACCCAAGGGTATTTTTAAAAATATGTTTTTATTGATTTTAGAAAGAGGGGAAGAGATAGGGATAGAGAGATAGAAACATCGATGAGAGAGAATCATTGATTGGCTGTCTGCTGCACGCCCCCTATTGGGGATTGAGCCTGAAAGCCAGGCATGTGTCCTGACCAGGAATGGTCTGGTGACCTCTTGGTTTATGGGTCAATGCTCAATATCTGAGCCACACCGGCTGGGCCTGAGGATTTTTTTCTATTGATTTTTAGAGAGAATGGAAGAGAGGGAGATGGAGAGAGAGAAAGAGAGGGAGAGAAATATCAATGTGGGAGAGACACGTTGATTGGTTGCTTCCTGAATGTGCTCTGACTAGAGCTGGGGATCAAACCTGCAACTCAGATACATGCCCTTGACTGGGAATCAAATCCAAGACTCTTAGATGCGTGGGCCGACGCTCTAACCACTGGGCAACACCAGCCATGGCTTGCTTTTTGTTGTTGTTGTTGTTGTTAATCAATTAGTCCCTCCCATCAGGCATCCTCATGATGTAAATCCTGAATGAGAGAGCAACAATTCTGCCAGCAGGTTCGGAGGCAGGAGGGTACCATGTGACCCAAATCTACTTGCTTTCTGCTTGGGGTTAGCCATGAGTTGCAAGAGTTCACACAGCAAAAGATTTCCATGAACATGCACCTGAATCTGTTCAGGAACAACAGGGGGTGAACAGTTAAGAGTTCAGATCGGGCCCTAACCGGTGTGGCTCAGTGGATAGAGTATCGGCCTGCGGACTGAGGGGTCCCAGGTTCGATTCCTATCAAGGGCATGTACCTTGGTTGCGGGCACATCCCCAGTAGGGGGCGTGCAGGAGGCAGCTGATCGATGTTTTTAACTCTCTATCCCTGTCCCTTCCTCTCTGTATAAAATCAATAAAATATATATTTAAAAAAAAAAAAAAGAGTTCAGATGGCAGTGAAAGGTGAATTCTCCACGCTGACCTCGGCTGGCCTCGGCCTGAATGGCCTTTCCGGTGTCACCTCATTTTTGGACGCGTTGCCCCCACACCCCCAAATAGGAATGGTTGTCCCTTCAAACTCTCCCTGCAGGTGGGCCCTCCCTCTTGAAGGTTGGTGTCCAGAGTTGGACCGTTAGGGGAAGGAAAGGTCCTCCAGGAACTGATGGAGCCATTGAGAAACCTGTCACAGACTTTATTAAACTTCTTTTCCTTTCCTCTTTACAAACCCCAAACCAGCACCCTACTGCAGCAGGAGCTTCCGGTTATGCCTGTAGGTAACAGCCCTGGTCGGAGAGAAAAGGCGTGGGGGTGAGAAAGAGGACTGCAGGCCCCTCTTGACAACTGATAACCCCCTTCTTCCCCCAAAAAATCTTCCAGCCACCATATGCCCACCATCCAGAACTGAAATATGGCTGACAGGTACACCTAGGAACTGTTTGACATTGAAATTGGGTCTCAGAAGAACCGGTGGCCCAGAAGGAAGCTCACTACAGACTGATTCATATGCCTCTCAGCATACCCATTATTGCTTGTCTCATTTTTTATTCTTATATTTCCAGTAGGACATGATCTCACGCATCTGGGGGAAATGGTGAACAACATAGACTGATGAACAAGAACAGACCCAGAGATGAGGAGCCATGGGTCAGACTGTTGGACCACAAAGGAGGGTGGGGATAAAAGGGAGAGATCGACCAAAGGACTTATGTGCGCACATATGAGCCTAACCAGTGGTCAAGGACAATAGGGGGGTGGGGGCATGAGTGGAGGGGAGTGAGGGATTGAAATGGGAGGTTGAGGACAAATATGTGATACCTTAATCAATAAAGAAATTAATAAAAAAAAGTAATAATTAAGTAGAGGGAAGAAAAGAAAAAAAAAATCTTCCAACCAATCACCGGCCTCATTTGACTCAACCAATGACATTGGGGTCTCTGGGCAGATTTGCAGGGTGCTCGGCCTTGTGAGGGGTTCAGTGGGGCGTGGGGGGCTGCAGGGGAGGGCAGGGATGACTCACGAAGCCACGATGACCCCGAAGGCAAAGACAGCCAGGCACAGGGAAACGACGATGCCCAGTGGGACCTGGTTCCAGGGGCGTCCACGCCCAGAGCCGTACTGCAGGGCCGTGCGGGGCTGCCTGTCGACTGACAGCGGACCCTCCATTGACACCCTTCTTTGCCCTTGATCGCACCCTCGGCTCACTCAGCTACTGGGGCCTCCTTCCCACCTCGGCTGGTGGACTGAAGGGTCCCAGGTTCGATTCCCCGTCAGGGTACATGCCCGGGTTGTGGGTTCCATCCCCAGTAGGAGGCGTGCAGGAGGCAGCCAATCAATGATTCTCTCTCATCCATGATGTTTCTATCCCTCTCTCCCTCTTTCTGTGAAATCAATAAAATAATAATAATAATAATAAAAGAATTACCTAGCCAAAACCGGTTTGGCTCAGTGGTAGAGCGTCGGTCTGCGGACTGAGGGGTCCCGGGTTCGATTCCGGTCAGGGGCATTGGTTGCGGGCACATCCCCAGGAGGGGGTGTACAGGAGGCAGCTAGTTGATGTTTCTTTCTCATCAGCGTTTCTAGCTCTCTATCTCTCTCCCTTCCTCTCTGTAAGAAAAATCAATAAAATATTAAAAAAAAAAAAAAAAAGAATTACCTAGCCCCAAATATCAGTAGTGTCAAGGTTGAGAAAACCTAAACTAATCCTTCACTCCATCAAAATGTAGACTCCATGGCTTGGGTCTCCCATTGTGCTGATCCCGAGTTTGGGGCATGGAAGGGCACTCAAAGTATCTGTTGTAAACACCGCTCTATCCCTAGCCAGCTTGGCTCAGTGGATAGAGCGTCGGCCTATGAACTGAAAGGTCCCAGGTTCGATTCTGGCCAAGGGCACATGCCTGAGTTGCAGGCTGGATCCCCATTGGGGGGGGGGTGTGTGTGTGTGTGTGTGCAGGAGGCAGCCAATCAATGATTCTCTCTCATCACTGATGTTTCTATCTCTCTCTCCCTCTTCCTTCCTCTCTGAAATTAATAAAAATATATTTTAAAAAAAGCACTGCTCTAAGGGAGCAAATAGACAAATTCCTTTTTTTTTTTTTTCCAGTTTGTCAATGTCGTGAGGGAACGTAGTAAGAAAAACGCGTATAGAATAAATAATGAAGTGAAAAACAACCTACCAATTGAGTGATATGAAAAGTCCTTTCACTGGGCTTCTGTTTGAACGAAGGGACGATTCGGGAAGTTGGAAAAGGAACTTGGATTTATTTGATATTGAAGAGTTGGTGTTAGATTCATTGAGTGTGGGAATGGCATTGTGCTTATGTAGGAAATGCCCTTGTTTTCAGAGTACACATTATTAGTGGGTGAAATTTCTTTTTTTTCTATATATTTTATTGTGTGTGTGTTTTGTTTTTTTTTTGTTTGTTTTTTTTAACATAGAGAAAGAGAGAGGGATAGAGATGAGAGAGAATCATCGATCAGCTGCCTCTTGCACACCCCCTACTGGGGATGTGCCCGCAACCAAGGTACATGCCCTTGACCGCAATCGAACCTGGGACCTTTCAGTCCGCAGGCCGACGCTCTATCCACTGAGCCAAACCGATTTCGGTTAGTGGGTGAAATTTCATGATGCCCGATTTCTTTTAAAACACTGTGGCAAAAAGAATTAATGAATCAAATGGGAGAACATTCATTGTCAAGATCATTTGCTAGAAAGCTCTGCTTTAAAGAGTGTGATCAGAGAGTCCTCTCTGAGGAGGGAAACTTTGAGACTTTGTGGAATGAGGGAGTCAGAGGGGCGGTGGGACAGAGAGAGGGAACTGCATGTGAAAAGGTCCAGCATGACTATTCAATCTTTTTTGTTTTGAAATCTTCACCTGAGGATATTTTCCCCATTGATTTTTAGAGAGAGGGAAAGACACTGATTGGTTGCCTCCTACATGTGCCCTGACCAGGTCCCAGGCCGGGGAAGAGGAGCCTGCAACTGAGGTATGTGCCCTTGACCGGAATCCAGGTCCACAGGCCGACACTCTACCCACTGAGCCAAACAGCTTTGGCCATTGATTATTCAATCTTGATGTATATTGGAGGGTCCATGGTACTATGTCCTCTGCTCTGAGGATATGTATTTTTTTTAAAAAAAAATTCTCAATGAGTGAATAAATGAAGCATATCCTTTCAGACTCCCCAGATGCGACATTGGTTAAAAATAAAACGCCTTTTAGCACCTGCCATTCTGGTGGTAGATGCATTCCAAGGTACAGAGGAGGCTTCCCCTTTAACAGCAGGACAAACCGATTTCGGGATGTGGGAGCACCTCCTGGGCCTCACTCACCGTAAGCAAGTTTGGGGCAGAATTCAAGGCTGCATGTGGGAGACCCCAAAACCTATACCCACGGGGACCGGCTGCCATCTGTCATGTCTCCCACCACCAAGAGCTTACCGAAACAGTCATCCTTCTTCATGCATCTGGGGCTGGTCTTCCGGCAATGTACACAGTCCAGAACCTCTTCTGTTAGCGTGTCTGGACGAGGGGAAAGGGAGACGTGGGATGAGGCGAGCTATGAGACAATTGGCACGGCGTGGGAAGACGGAAGGGGAACAGGATATGGAATCCCTTGGCGCTCATGAATTTGGGTGTCCCATGTGCAGCAGCAGAGCAAGCTGAGCAAAACGCACTGACGATTCACATTAAAATAATGCTATTACTTATCATAAAAGGCTAATATGCAAATTGTCCCCTCGGGAGTTCTGCTGGCAGACCGGGAGTTCAGTCTTTCGCTATGATGTGTGCTGACTACTAAGGGGTGGCAGGGAACATGGCAGGCGACCAGCAGCAGCAGGGCACTGAGGGAGTGAGGGAAGGAGAAGGGGGGCGGGCAAGGAACCTGATTGGTCCTGATCACCAGCCAGGCCTAGGGACCCTACTCATGCATGAATTTCGTGCACTGGGCTCTAGTATTTTAACTAGAGGGCCAGTGCATGAAATTCATGCACAGGTAAGTTCACTAGGCCTGGCCAGTGATCAGGGCCAATCTGTGGGGCAACCAGCAAGGCGATTGGGGGGGGGGTGCCCTGCTGGCACCTGTCTTCGCTGGCCTGGGGCCTGTGGGCAGCTCCTGCATTGAGCGTTCTGCCCCCTGGTGGTCAGTGTGCATCTTAGCGACCAGTTGTTCCACTGTTTGGTAGATTTGCATATTAGGCTTTTATTATATAGGATAGACAAGTTGATGGAAGAGTTCAATTAAGTTGCAGCTGTTCAGATAACCCAACAATCTGTTTGTAGACATTTAATTAATCAAAATTAAGCACGTGTTTAATTAAATATCTACAAAGGAACGCTCTCCCATCTCTATTCCTATTTTGCAGCCACCTGTGGCATGGACTGGCCAGATGCTCATTCAACTGTCCCCTCAGCGTCCTGACACACAGGAAGACTACATTTCCCAGGCTTCTTTGCAGTAGGTTTGAGAACATGTGACTGAGTTCTGGCCAATGGAAATCGGGCAGAGGAATGTAATGCCAATTCCCAGGCTTGGCTGTAAACGTTCCTGCAGAATTCCCTATTCTTTCTCCCATTTGAAGCTTGCTGAAGAGGCACTACCCGGGTGCAGCCTGGATCCCTGAGTCAGCACTTGGAAGAACTGCTCAATTCTCAGTGGATTTTGAGTCAAAGCGAACTAAACCTTTCTTTTGTTAAACCACTGAAATTCGGGGTTTGTTACTAGGACATAGCTCTCCTATCCTGTCTAGCATTTCCCCAACGTACTTTCTTTTGCAGGTTGCAACTTTCATAAGCCCTCGAAAATCAGATATCCAGCCCTAACCGGTTTGGCTCAGCCTGCGGACTGGTTCGATTCCAGTCAAAGGCATGTATCTTGGTTGCGGGCACATCCCCAGGGGGGGGGGGGTGCAAGAGGCAGCTGATTGATGTTTCTAGCTCTCTATTCCTCTCTCTTCCTCCCTGTAAAAAAAAAATCAATAAAATATACATTTAAAAAAATCAGATATCCATAAGCACTGGAACCTCAGACCCAGTAGTTTGAAATAGGTGTGACGGTGGGGCTTGATTCGTGGGTAAAGAGGCAGAGAAGGAAGGGATAGACAAGAAGTCTATCAGGACTCACGGCAGGTTTTCTGATCACAGGCTGCAAGAGAAAAGAGCTGAGGTGAGATCAGTTGGGACAGCAATTTGAGGATCTGATCAGGGTAAGGCACCAGGAGAGGGAGGGAGGAATGAGCCTGGGAGAGAAGGGGAAGGAATGTTAGTGAGGGGCAGAGAGGGCTGATTCAGAGGGGAGGGGAGGGGAGGAGAGGGGAGGAGAAGAGAGGGGAGGGGAGGGAGGAGTTTGGAGAAAGGAGGAGAGAAGGGGATGGAGCGATAAGGAGGAGGGGTGTTTGTGGAGAGGGGATGCTGCACCTTTTAGTTCATACGACCTTAAACCTGTCTTGAGTTTCTTGGTCACCTTCCTCCTAAGAGTCACCAGCTCTTGCAGCAGAGGCCTATCTGAGGAAGAGAGAGAGAGAGAGAGAGAGAGAGAGAGAGAGAGAGAGAGAGAGAGATCTCCTTGGGAGGCACTCAGCACCCCATCGGCAGCTTCAAAGAGAAGGGAGAGGAAACTCTCATTACAGGGAACCCAAAACCAGGTCTTACTGGGGTCCACCGGGCAAACCCATGGCTTGCAAAGTCCTGCATCTAGCTTCTGTGAGCCCGGCTTCTGGCTGAGTGCACATGCACACACACACACACACACACACACACACACTTTACATCTTTTTTAAAATGGGAAATGGTTGGACTCACCCTAACTGGTTTGGCTCAGTGGACAGAGCGTCGGCCTGCGGACTGAAAGGTCCCAGGTTTGATTCCGGTCAAGGGCACGTACCTTGGTTGGGGGCACATCCCCAGTGGGGGGTGTGCAGGAGACAGCTGATGGATGTTTCTAACTCTCTATCCCCCTCCCTTCTTCTCGGTAAAAAAAAAGTCAATAAAATATATATTTTGAAAAATGGGTGGGCTTGCCAAAACCGGTTTGGCTCAATGGATAGAGTGTCGGCCTACGGACTGAAAGGTCCCAGGTTCAATTCTGATCAAGGGCATGTACCTTGGTTGCGGGCACATCCCCAATAGGGGGTGTGCAGGAGGCAACTGATTGATGTTTCTAGCTCTCTATTCCTCTCTGTAAAAAAAAAATCAATAAAATATATATTTTAAAAAATGGGTGGGCTCTTCCTTAGCGTCCTCCCCCTGTCCCATCCCTCTCGGTGGTTCTGGGGCTTAGACCCCGCCCTGCCAGCTCCCCCAGGTCCACAGCTCTCTGCTGCCCTCTGCTGGGGACTGTCATAAGACCCGAGCGAATCTCCGAGGACTAACTGTGAATGGTGCGGGCGCCAGACCTGTTGGGTGGTGGTGAGGGATACAGGGCCTGAGCCAGATGTCCCGGTTCAGATCCTCCTCTCCTCCCAGCTGTGTGACTTCCGGCGTGGCTGAGCCTCAGTCTCCCCCTCTGGGTAAGCCGTGGTAGACTCTTGTAAGCAAAACACCAGGAACCCTAACGGTTCGGTTCGGTTCGGTTCGGTTCCTTTCCTTTCCTTTCCTTTCCTTTCTTCTTCTTCTCTCTCTCTCTCTCTCTTGTTAACCCTCACCCGAGAATATTTTCCCATTGATTTTTAGGGAGAGTGGACGGGAGGGGGAAATATTAGATAGAAACATTGATGTGAGAGAAACATATCGATTGGTTGCCTCCTGCATGGGCCTCCGACAGGACCTGGGAGGAGCCCACAACCAAGGTACCCGCCCTTGACCAGAATCGAACCCGCGACCCTTTGGTCCTCGGGCCGAGGCTCTATCCACTGAGCCAAACCAGCCAGGGCTGCTCGTATTGTGAAGTCAAGAGGAAGCTGGTGGACAGGCCGCAGGGAGGGGACGGGTCAGGGGAAAGGCTCCCCCGCCGTTCCTACCTCTCAGGGAGTCAGCCCTCAGCTTGTTTATCTGATTCTGCGCAAAGATCGCCACAGGGTCCAGGTGATCCACCTCTGGGGGGAGAGGGGAGGGCCGTCCAGGGGGTCCTCCGGGAGCCAAGGCCCCCCCCATCTCCCTGCAGGACAGGCCTCCGCCCTTAGGGGGCGCGGTCCCACAGTGTCCCCCCCCCCCCCGCCTCTGGGGGGAGAGGGGAGGGCCGTCCAGGGGGTCCTTCGAGAGCCAAGGACCCCCCCCCCCAGCTCCCTGCAGGACAGGCCTCCGCCGTTAGGGGGCGCGGTCCCACAGTGTCTTCCCCCCCCCCCTCTGGCCCGGCCCCCACGGCCCCTCCCTCCCCCCAGCGCGCACCGATCGCGCCCCCGGACACGCCGGCGGCGTAGTCCCTGAAGAACGGCCCCTCCATGCCCAGCAGCAGGGCCTGGGCGCGCGCCCGCAGCTGCCCGCGGCCGAAGCGGCTGGGGACGAGGTCCCGGCGCAGCTGGCGCAGGGTCTGCTGCACCGCGGGGTCACACTGCAGGCAGCCCCGGCCCCCGCCCAGGCCCGCGAGCAGCAGGAGGGCCCAGGCCGGAGGCATGGCGGGGCCTGTGTGACGTCACAGAGAGACCCCCACACCCACCCCAGCCGGCCCCGCCCCCGGGGTGCGTGCGTGTGTGTGTGTGTGTGTGTGTGTGTGTGTGTGTGTGTGTGTGTGTGTGTCAGGGAGGCCCTGGGAGGGACGGTCCTGCAGGCGGGTGTTTGCTGAGCCCTGCTCTGTGCCAGGCCCTGTGCCAGGCTCTGCAATGCAGGGCTGAGGCACAGGGTCTCTGCTCACATCCTTTATGTACATTTGTTCCAACAGAGCGCCTACTGTGTGCGGGCGTTCAGTGAAGCGCCTACTGTGTGCGGGCGTTCAGTGAAGCGCCTACTGTGTGCGGGCGTTCAGTGAAGCGCCTACTGTGTGCGGGCGTTCAGTGGAGCGCCTACTGTGTGCGGGCGTTCAGTGGAGCGCCTACTGTGTGCGGGCGTTCAGTGGAGCGCCTACTGTGTGCCGGGCGTTCAGTGAAGCGCCTACTGTGTGCCGGGCGTTCAGTGAAGCGCCTACTGTGTGCGGCGTTCAGTGAAGCGCCTACTGTGTGCGGGCGTTCAGTGGAGCGCCTACTGTGTGCCGGGCGTTCAGTGAAGCGCCTACTATGTGCCGGGCGCTGGAGAGGGTCCAGGTGTCCATGGACTAATGAGTGGTCGAAGTGTGGTATGTCTAGGCAATGGCATAGTAGTCAGTCTTACAAAGGGCATTCTGCCCTAGCCGGTTTGGCTCAGTGGATGGAGCGTCGGCCTGCAGACTCAAGGGTCCCAGGTTCGATTCTGGTCAAGGGCATGTACCTTGGTTGTGGGCACATCCCCAGTGGGGGGTGTACAGGAGGCAGCTGATCGATGTTTCTAACTCTATTTTTTTCCCTTCCTCTTTGTTTTTTTAAAATATATATTTAATATATTTTATTGATTTTGTACAGAGAGGAAGGGAGAGAGATACAGAGTTAGAAACCTCGATGAGAGAGAGTCATCAATCAGCTGCCTCTTGCACACCCTCTACTGGGGATATGCCCGCAACCAAGGTACATGCCCTTGACCGGAATCGAACCCGGGACCCTTCAGTCCCCAAGCCGATGCTCTATCCATTGAGCCAAACAGGTCCCGGCTTAAATATATTTTTTAATAGAGAGGAAGAGAGAGGGATAGAGAGTTAGAAACATTGGTGAGAGAGAATCATCCATCAGCTGCCTCTTGCACATCCCCCACCGGGGATGTGCCCGCAACTGATGTACATGCCCTTGACCGGAACCGAACCTGGGACCTTTCAGTCCGCAGACAGACGCTCTACCACTGAGCCAAACCGGCCCCGGCTCCCTTCCTCTTTGTAAAAAATCAATAAAATATGTTAAAAAAAAAAAAAAAAAAAAAAAGCTCGTGAGTGCTTCCCCGCATTTCCCAGCAGCCGGCTGTAAAAACAGTCATTAAAAGCATCTTTTTAGCCGACACCGGTTTGGCTCAGTGGATACAGCATCCGCCTGTGGACTGAAAGGTCCCAGGTTTGATTCCGGTCAAGGGCGTGTACCTTGGTTGTGTGCACATCCCCAGTAGGAGGTGTGCAAGAGGCAGCTGATGGTGTTTCTCTCTCTCATCAACGTTTCTAACTATCTTTCTACCTTGTAAAAAATCAATAAAATATATTTTTTTAAAAAATAAAAGTATCTTCTTTAAAAAGCCAATATTTTCTGGAGAACCAGGGGGCGCACTTCCCGGCTTTGCTCAGCCTGCCAATGTGCCCGGCATCTGTGATGCCCAAACCCCGCCTTCCTGCTCACTGAGCTCCGTGCCTCTTACCCGCCAGTGAGAATACAAGGTTGAACCTTTTTGCCCCTGGAACAAAATTTAAAAAAATTTTTTTAAATTAATTTTAGAGAGAATACCCCCAGCACAGAGCCCAGCCTGGCAGGCGAGGCCCCAGGCCACACCCTCCCTCCCGTGCCAGCACCTGTCACCTTGGCCGAGTGGACTCGCGCCCCGCACAGCCTCACTCACACCTGCACCCCTGCTCCGTGCTCCCTGCCTCTCCCGGGATCTCAGAGCCACCGGAACCTCCGCGGGAACATGCCCTTTGGCCGCCACCCCAGGTCTAGGCATTGAGCTTTCCGATAACACGGTCCAGGAACCCCAAGGCCTGAGCACAGGATGCTCACCGCGGGACTCGTCATGGCTGCCGGGCAAATAGCCCACGTGCTCATCAGGAGGGGGTGTCCCGGGATGGGGGCCGGGGTCGGGGGGAGGCTTGAGGAACCGGAGGTGATTGACACACAGGGCTCCTGACGGGCCCTCCCTCTTCGGGAGGTGTGTGTCTGAGTGATGGACGCGGGTGCAGAGCCAGGTGGACTCTGTGCCCTGCCCCTCCCGCCCTCGCTGTGGCCTCACCTCTCTTCACCTGCCTTTCCTCGTCTGTAACACAGGACACTCCTCCTCTCCAAGGTCACGGTGAAGATTACATAACAAAACACGTGGGGGGGAACCATCTACAGAGCATAGAGTCAGCATTAAGTTAGCTCTTTTAAAAAGATGCTTTTATTGCGTGTTAGAGAGAGAGAGGGAGAGGGAGAGAAACATGGACGTGAGAGGGTAACATCGATCGGCTGCCTCCTGCACACCCCCGCTTGGGATGGAGCCTGTAACCCGGGCGTGTGCCCTGACCGGGAATCGAACCGGGATCTCTTGGTTCATAGGTCGACACTCAACCACTGAGCCACGCCAGCCGGGCCAAAGTCAATCTTTTTTTTTAATTATTTTTTTTATTTTATTGATTTTTTTTTAGAGAGGAAGGGAGAGAGACAGAAAGTTAGAAACATCGATGAGAGAGAAACATCAACCAGCTGCCTCCTGCACACCCCCCACTTGGTTGATGTGCCAGCAACCAAGGTACATGCCCTTGACTGTATTCGAACCCAGGACCCTTCAGTCTGCAGGCCGACGCTCTATCCACTGAGCCACACCGGTTTTGACTAGATGTGGATACTTTAAAGATTAAAGAAAATACACACACATATAGGCATATTATTTTTCTTTTTTTTAATATATTTTATTGATTTTGTACAGAGAGGAAGGGAGAGAGATAGGGAGTTAGAAACATCGATGAGAGAGAAACATCGATCAGCTGCCTCCTGCACACCCCCTACTGGGGATGTGCCAGCAACCAAGGTACATGCCCTTGACCGGAATCGAACCTGGGACCCTTCAGTCCCCAAGCCGACGCTCCATCCACTGAGCCAAACCGGTTTTGGCAAAATTCTCAGGTTCTTACGGGAACCACGAACCGCGCCTCAGGCCTCCACTCCCTCCTCACCACAGCGGATCTGACCAGGAAGTGAGCAGGGAAAACAGGGGAAGCACAGCGCCCTGAGATGCCAGGAAATGCCAGCCACGCCAGGTGATGGCATTCCCCTTTGTTTCTCATTGAGAGTACTGTCAGCGCCGCGCCCTCCCGCTGCGGCTCAAGGGTGCCCTCCACAGACACACCGGCCCAGGCCCCGGGTCCGAGGCAGCCGCTGCTCGCCCCACCCCTCCGCTGCCCTGGGCTTGCCTTAGCGTGTGAGAGAGGGTGTGTTCAAGTCCTATCCCCATGCCCTGGCGATTGGCAAACTCATTCGTCACCGGAGCCAAATATCCACAGGACAACGATTGACATTTCTTTGGAGAACCACATTTTTTAAACTTCAACTTCTTCTAACGCCACTTCTTCAACACAGACCCACTCGCCCAGGCCGTGGTATTTTGTGGAAGAGCCACACACAAGGGGCTAAAGAGCCGCATGTGGCTCGCGAGCCGCAGTTTGCTTGCCACGGTCCTAGCCAGTTTGGCTCAGTGGATCGAGCGCTGGCCTGCAGACTGAAGGGTCCCAGGTTTGATTCTGGCCAAAGGCACATGGGTTGTGCGCTCCATCCCCAGTAGGGGGCGTGCAGGAGGCAGCGGATCAATGATTCTCTCTCAACATTGATGCTTCTCTCCCTCTTCCTTCCTCTCTGAAATCAATAAAGAAAAAAAAGAAAAAGAAAAAATATATATATCTTAAAAAGTCCTAGCCCCAGGAACTCAGAATGTGACCTGATTGGAAATAGGGTCATTGCCGATGGAATTAGTAAGCTGAGCTCATGCTAGCAGGAGGGGCCCCTAATTTAACATGACCTCGCAAGAAGAACCCCATGTGAAGACATGGGGATGCAGCCTGGCTGGGTAGCTCCATGGGTTTCCCATCATCCCCCTACACCAAGGTTGCAGGTTCGATTCCTGGTCAGGGCACATACAAGAAGCAACCAATGAATGCATACATAAGTAGAATAGCAAGTCAACTTCTCTCTCTCTCCTCTCTCTCTCTCTCTCTCTCTCTCTCTCTCCCATCAGTAAGTAAACTAAAAATTTAAAGATACAGAGAAAGCCCTGGTCAGTTTGACTCAGTGGATAGAGTGTCGGCCTGTTGACTGATATTTCTCTTCCTTTCTTCCACTCTGTCTTAAAAAAAAAATCAATAGAAAAATATCCTCGGCTGAGGAATTAACAATAACAACAGCTCTAGCTGGTTTGGCTCAATGGATGGAGCGTTGGCCTGTGGACTGGGGGGGTTCCAGGTTTGATTCCGGTCAAGGGCATGTACCTTGGTTGTGGGCACATCCCCAGTGGGGGGTGTGCAGGAGGCAGCTGATCAATGTTTGTCTCTCATCGATGTTTCTAGATCTCTATCCTTCTCCCTTCCACTCTGTAAAAAATCAATAAAATATATTTTAAAAATTATATATATATATATATACCCTGTTTCCCTGAAAATAAGACAGTGTCTTATATTAATTTTTGCTCCCAAAGATGTGCTAGGTCTTATTTTCAGGTGATGTTTTATTTTTCCATGAAGAAGAACACGGTACACATTTATTGTTAAATGAAAATAAAGGAAATTTATTACCTGTATACAGTACGGTAGTACGGTAGTTGTCAACACAAACCAGACAAACTGTGAATCCTACAGGATCAAGAATTTACTAATTTATTCAATGACAATCA